AATCATGAATGGAGCCACCGCTCAATCCGAGAGTCCTGCTACACAGTACAGTCATACAGCCACTCTACTTTTATTTATATCCCTCCAACGACGACCTTCAGCCAAGGTAGGGTTGATCAGATAAATCAGGTTCCGTTCTGAGGAGAAACAGGTGTCACCGTGATCGTGCTGGACATCTTTGAAGTAACGAATGTTCTAGCTTGATGACGAAGGTTGATGAACAACATAGTTCGTCTGAGGCGAATGTTATTAATTCCATGTGGTTATAAACGGAAATATAAATGGATTAGAAATAGCTACATTTGTTGAATAGCTATATGCAAACTGCATTGCCTGATTGTGTAATATTCAAATTTCTTCAACCTAACCTTATTGTGAATTAAACAAATAAATGCCGAATGAAATAATTTCTTCGGTATTCTATAAAAGAAAACACTGTATTTTGTCTAAATAACCAGAAATGCAAATTCTGCAAATCCATTGAACACTGAAATAATAAATATTGCTTTTAATTATACAGTTTGTTCGTACGGTCCAATATTACTTTATGCAAACCACTTAATTATTGGCGTAAAATAAAAATAAAAATACAGGTTTATAAAATTTATAAGCCCGGATGTTTCCCTTTAAAATCCCTGTTAAATTGATTTCCAATACGGAAATAAATCAAACAGGAATGTTTTTCAAACTAAATTTAATATTGATATGAATTTCTCCAATTTCCTCCAGCAACGTATTTTCTAAGTACTCTACACTTGTATCAATGATAGTAAAACAGGACACCGTACATTGAATCATGAATGAAACGAATTTTTCCATTTTTTTTATATTTAATATACAAACAGATGAAGTCAATTGATGAATACGAAATTACTGGTAGAAAATGAAGAATTTTATCTTCGCTTAATATTTCAATATACAAATAACAATAAAATACAAATGGTATGTGTAGAGGAGATATTTCTACGACAAGTAGATTGCAGGAATTCACGAGCATTGATCACAATCCTTAAAAGAATCGTCATTATTGGAAGCATTGTTTGACGTATGAAGGATTGGCGCAGCCTCAGGTTTATGAATGAGTACCTTGGGCGTGAGGATCACGTGGCGGGGTGCTATGGCGCTTTAACGATCGAGAACATCCTGTCCCCTCCTTTCCTCAAGTTTTATCACATCCTCCCCTCCTTTCTCCTTTGATACGACCAAACTGTACAGGATGTATCATTTATAAGATCTGGGTCGCACCTAAGCGACTAGGACTCACTGAATACGAAGTATATGACGTAACAGTTGTTTTGTAGAAAAAAATATTACTTTTTAACAAGCACTGCCTTTACTCGTTCAACAGTATTCCGTGAATTATGTGTTTATAAAGCGTATTTGATTGAATAGTTACATACAGTTAAATTCGTATCCTTTTTTTGCACAAAATTTAAAATTTGCTTAATTTAAAAAATTCCTTGGATAAAAATTGCACAATTTATAAAATAACAATGTTTTCCAAATTATAAATTGATTAAGGGTATTTGATAGATAATTCATGAGTTAGTATCATAGAAGATGATTATCCTTTTCTTTCTTTTCAAATTTCAAAAATTTGGGCATCAATGTTCCCTAAAAGAAGAAAAACTAAAATTAATCGAAGGATATAAAACTAAAAATTTTTAATTATTTTATAAAAGACTAAAGCATGTCTTACTTTTTTTTTAATGCAATACTTCGGGCTGTAGATAAGCTGACCGATGTCCTTTTGGATACCGTAATATATTTATCTTCTTGCGTCAGTTTCAAGCAGGGAGAAAAAGCTCGATCAAAATTTTTCAGTGGGGTGTAGAGCGTAGAACAATGCGTAGGTGTACTATACGCTAGTGTAGGTGTAAAGGTAGGCGGATGAAGGAGGAAAGAGCAAAATCATTCAATATCCCTCTTTTTGGCACATACGCGCACGCTCGACTGTGTAAATCTTCGATACAATAAAAAGAAATTCAGAATGAGAGTAATTGCATTCTTGGAAAGATATTGCACATCGTACATCATTATATCAGATTTTCTGATTAAAGTTGAACCAGCGTGTTGAATTGCTAACGCAAATAAATTACATTTATAAACTATTTAAATATTTCACTACGAATAAAAAATATAGGCTTTCAAATTATACGAAAGTAGTATTACTACGATTACTTCAATACCAGTTAAAGCTGTACAACCTATTCTACGAAGCAGTTACAAATCTATTATAAACCGTTTATCGATCAGAACAGTAAAATTGCGAAACGAAACTTTCCAAATAAACTTCGATATAGTAATCTTTTACTCAATGAATACCATAACGAAATTCGATACAACAAATTCTCTGCAAAGCCTGAAAAAGTTTCTACCACACAGACGCTATCCTAAAACTCTGATGTAGCGAACTTTCTACAGGGTAATCTGAAAACTCTTCATCAATGAGCAGAAAATGGTTAAAATTGGATATTTCGAATCTTTACGAGGCGATTTCGAAAGTTCGACGTATTATGAATTCTCGAGGATAGAAAAGTCGAAATTTTTAGTGAATGGGCTATGTCAATGGATGAATTGAAACGGCATGTAGCGTTGGCCAAGTATGTACGCACGTATATAACCTCCACCCACGTTTTATGCGCGGGCGTCGCGACGGGGGCGTTGTGGCAGTTTCGCTCTTGTGATGACCTTGGAAACACCCACTCACCAACAGACCACTGTGCGGGGGTGGTTCGTTCATCGACGTTCCAGCCACTCTTCTCGGTTTTCCTCCCTATTCTCTCCGCGTATTTCCTATATGCAATATAGACGCGCATGCGCCGTTCAATCGTGAAAACGAACCCCTCACGTTAAAATTCACGCTTTCCATTTACGTAAGTGCCTCATTATTCCTTGCTCCGCTCACGAATTCGTCCGTTTACCACTCTACTTATCGGTAACACTTTCGAAAGTCAGAATATGAATTACTGATTTGATGCTTGAATGTCATGGTAAGAGAAATTAGAGTTAATTGCATCTGTAACGCAGCTGATCTTCCATATAATAACAAGGAACTTGTCTAACGTATTGTAGACTTATTTCTGTAAAAAAAAATATTTATATATAGAGAGAGAAAAATACAGAATATTCGTTGAGAAGTTGAATTACAAAGAGAATCTAGCTTATAGATAAGTAATAAATTGAAAAATGCAAACAGACGTAATAGAACGTCATGAAATACAAAACTGTACAAAGAATGTGTAATACTCGTAGATAATTTCGAATAGATATCACAGTGTTTTTTTTTATACGTTTCAAATTGATCAGTACATTAGAAAGAAAGAATACTAAAAAATGATAAAAAGTTTAGATTTTCTGTATACGTTTAACCTCAACATTAATCGTATTATCTTGTAATATCAATAATGTTACGAGAAAGGTATTTTCATCCTTGAAAATATTTTGAAAAATATGAAGCGTATACTACATCTTTCTGCCACGACGTAGTTCATGGAATAGTTTTTCACGACGGTCTGTTAAATTGCTGGTTACCTAAGTACTGTAAGCCTAACAATACAAAGGGCACAGTGGACGGTAACTCTGTAAGTGGTGGGGACAGGTACGAAGATGGTTTGCCGATATTATTCGTAAACAGAACCGAACTCATCCGTTAGAAAATGTTGTATCAGCTCGAAAAATCTATTCCGAAAAAAGATTCTTTTAATTGTTATAGAAAAATACATATTAACTCTCTTTTCTTATTAGTAATTTAAATGTTACATCGTAAATTAAATATAATTAAGATTTACTGGAATTGTTTATATAACAGACTTATTTAATGCATGGATAGTCATTATAAGATTTATAAATTAATTTGCATTGAATATTGAATTAGTTAATAATAGAGTTAGAAAAATTATTTTGTTAATTAATTATTACAATTTAACACTGTTCCCGAGGAAAAAGAAATTTACATTGTCTAATAGACTTGACAATGTACGTGTAATTGAATATCGGAAAATTATGATATAATACGATTAAATAGAATTCTTTAACCAACTTTGAAAATTACATGCTAAACATTATTTCGTTTTATCTTGTAAAGTACGAAGTAACATTTCATATTAAATGTACTATTAAGAACCAGGTGCAGATGTTTACTGAAAGTATTGCGTCTAAATTTTAGCTGGGTGCATTCATAAACTGTAGATCCGTTGAAAATCCTTATTTCCATGACTGCGCGTGGAAAGATTTGTAGGCTTCGTCAAACTTTAAGAGAACATTTTCATAATTACGTAGAATTAGGATGTAGTTCTAAAAACACATTCAAATTAATTGATAGAAGTTTCATTCAAAAAGCCTTGGTTTACTTTCTTTGGAAATAAAACGATAGAATTTTCCGATCAACCTAAATATGTATTATCCAGGTATAGAATTCTATACTTCGTGTGCGATTATAAAATTTCCTATCCTATACTTTGTTTGTAATTTCATAGTTACATTTAGTTCTAATTCCAATCACTATCGATGTTGTATGCTTATTCTATGCTGAATCGGTAACGATGGAAGTGACACGAAAATGATAAAAGGGCTCACGAGCCCCATGAAAGGGGACAAAAGAATGCACTGGATGATAGGTCTATTCTGTACCTCGTTTGTGATTCAAACTTTATTTTTTTCTCTTTAAATTCAAAATATTAGAAGAAATTAAAACTGTTTACGTTTATGGTTTTTTGTTTTCT